CAGTCGACTACATGGGAGTCTAGCAACAGAGCCATTACACCAACTGCTGGTCCCAATAAATTCTTTTATTATTATTTTTAAAGTTTATTTATTGATTTCCTCCATAAGGAAGGAAGAGAGGCAGAGAGAAGGAGAGACGACACTTCCAACAGGGTCTTGGCACCACCCGTCCCCAGCTTCAGTCAGCCCCAGATCACGGGCACACACATGCCTGGTATACTCGAGAAGGTCTTGCCACATGACCCAGAACCTTCCGGTGTGGTTTGGCCTCTCAGAGAATCACATTTTACCACTGGGCCACCCATCTGGGCCCTAAGAGGTTGCATTTCTCCCTGTCAGTGGCCCCCTTGGGGCTGTGACTTCCCCCTGATGGGCTGTCCTCCCCGTCTCCACAGTACCTGGTGCTCATGCTCATCGTCTACATCTTCGAATGTGCCTCCTGCATCACGTCCTACACCCACCGAGACTACGTGAGTGGGGGCGGGGCAGAGGCCAGGGAGGGGCGTGACCTGGGACCGAGTGGTATGGGTCCCAGGAGGGGTGTCGACCTCTCTCCCTACCCAGTCCTACTGGACCTTATTTTTCTGACCCTCTGCAGATGGTGTCCAACCCATCCCTGATCACCAAGCAAATGCTCACCTTCTACAGTGCAGACACGGACCAGGGCCGAGAACTGACCCGCCTCTGGGACCGCATCATGATTGAGGTGGGTAAGGGTGGGCACAGGTGCTAGGGGGGGTCCAGTGCTCTGTCCACAGAGGCAGACAGGGCTCCCATAGTCCCCCTTGTGGTTGAGTGACTGGTTTCAGGACATCCACTCCTGAGATCCCTGCGAGGGTGGGCCTCTGGTTGTCCCAGTTTTCCAGGTGCATAAACAGGCCCAGAAAGGGCAAGTCATGGGCCAGCCGATAGTGTGGTGGTTAGGGTGGCCGGATCCCATATAGCTGACTACATGGTTCTAGTCCCATCCTAGTGGCTTGAAGAACACTCCAGGCCCGTGTGCATGCATGCCCGAAATCTGGAAAGGAGAAGGGTTGTGAAATGTCCATCCCCCCCAGAAGTGCTCTCCTGCTTTCTCTCTCTCTGTCTCTCTCCAGTGAATGCACACGTCCTGTGACAAATCTTTGTAAAAGAGGGGAGGTGCAAGTTGCTGCCCAGGGTCACACAGTGGGTAAGCAGTAGATTCCTTTTGGCAGCCTAGACAGAGCCCCTGCCTTAACCATCACAGACACTGCCTCCACAGTAGTAATGATAATGACAGTGACATTAGCATTGGGCCGTTTAAAGCTTATTCCACCTCACAGTCACCCCATAAGGGAGCGTAGCTTCTTAGCAACGAGGAAACTGAACAAGAGGTTGAGTGGATTCCATGAGGTCACACAGCCCGTAGGTCACAGAACTGGTGGGATTCAAACCCGGGCCACCAGGTTCCAGAAGCCACACTTTTCTTTAAATCCAACATGATGTTGCATGACAAGAGGAAGAAATTGCAATCTCAAGGGAGATGGAAGTCTGTCTTAACCCAAATTATACAGCTGGCCAGGGTTTGAACCCATGTCTAAAGGATACCCAAGTCTTCACAAATTAAACACCCTCCAGGGCCAGGAAAAGTCAGAAATCACCCTGTTTGTGTCATTTTGTCAGCATACTTACCCACAAAGTAATTTTAAAATAAAACATGAGTATGGGTTTGATCCAAATTACCCATCATTCTCTGGTCCTGGAACAACACTGTCTGATCCTTGCTCTCTCTCTCTCTCTCTTCTCTCTCTCTCTCTGTCTCTCTCTCTCTCACACACACACACACACACAAAACCTTGAGGTCCAAGACATGGGGAATTTGGGCCCAGCTATGTCAAAGGCCAACCCTGTCTCTCCTTGCTGTGTGACTTCAGACAAGCAACTGTCCTCTCTGAGCCCAAGCCTGTCTGACCCCCACCTTTCTCTCCAGCAAGAATGTTGTGGCACATCTGGCCCCATGGACTGGGTGAACTTCACATCAGCCTTCCGGGCAGCCACTCCGGAGGTGGTATTCCCCTGGCCCCCACTGTGCTGTCGCCGGACCGGAAACTTCATTCCGCTCAACGAAGAGGGCTGCCGCCTGGGCCACATGGACTTCCTGTTCACCAAGGTGTGCCCCCCTCCCTGCGCTGCACCTGTTCGTCCATTCACCTTTCTCCGATCGCTTCTCCTCTCGCTCTCTCTCTGGTTCTTCTGTCTCTCTCCCCCTCCCATTGTCTCTCTGTGTATCTCCCTCCCTCTCCTCCTCCTCTTCTCTCTGGTGTTCTCTTTCTCTCCCGTCTCTCTGGCTCTCCCAGTTCTCTCCACAGTTTTCTCGCAGGCCCACAAGGTGCGGGTGTCTGATCCAGACTCGGCGCCCTAACTTTTCTCAGACCGTGGGAGAGTAAGAGCAACAGTAACAGCAGAAGCACGACAGTAAGAGCGGCCCGGGTTCGCTGCGCCTTTTCTTTGCAAAGGGTTTTTTGCTGTGGTTGTTTTGTTGTTGTTCCTTTCGGTCTGTTTTGCTGTAGGGTATGTGCGCTGGCTGAGACAGAGAGAGAAGGAAAGTGGGACGTCATCACCACCCCGTGGGGTGGCCGTGCCACAATCCCTTCTCTTCTATTTTCTTTTGGGGATCTTGGACACGCACGCACACATGCCTGAGTTATTTTACAAGCTGCCTAGTCTGGAACGCAAACTGCAATCGGCTATGTGGGATCCAGGACCTTAACCACTGCACCGCTGGTTGGCCCCCAGGCATTATGTTAAATGCTTTAAGTTGTTACCATTTTTTTTTCTTTGGGAGAGGTTTTTGCTATAGGGCATGTGCACTCACCAGAAAGACAGAGACAGAGAGACAGAGAGACAGAAAGCAAGAAATCACCCCCCCCCAGGGGGGATGGCCATGCCACAATCCCTTCTCCTCCAGTCTCCTCTTGGGATCCTGGACACACACGCACGCACATCCGACATGAGTTTAAGCCACCGGGTCCAGGACTTGAACTGCCGTCGACTACACAGAAGCCCAGCTATACAGCCATTATGCTGACTGCTGGGCCCTTTAATGACTGCAAGGCAAGCAGGCAGGGAGAGAAACCAGAAGGTTAGACTAAAAGAGAACCAGCTCCTGTGGTCCCTCCAGCTGCTTTTGGCTGCCTGGGGGTCTCTGGCAGCTTGTCTTAAGTCAGCTGTCACAAGGCAAACCATAAACCACACTCAGGACAGCTCGGCCGTTTCTCAGTCCCCGACTCCACCCCAAGTGCTTACGGGCACCATCCCCCGGAATCCCTGCAGCTGCTGTCCAGGCAGTGCTAGCAAGCTTGCCCTTCCCAGAGGGGAAAACTGAGGCTTGGAGAGTCAGAATCACATACAGGCCCTGCGGCCCACAGATAGCAGCGCTGACCCCTGACCTGGTCCTGTCTGCCCTCAGGACACACACCAGGAACCTTTGTTCTGGCTGCTCACAGGCCAGGGTCAGGGTCTTTGTGAAAGTGACTCTAGTGTGGGGCTCTGGCTCCAGTCAGCCCTGTCTCTAAGTGCAGGGAGGGTCAGAACTGGAGTAAGCCTGAAGGTGTCCCCACTAACCCTCAGGCCTTGTGAGCAGCCCAGCCTCTAGACAAGTCGTTTTCAGGCTGTGATAGGCAGAATCAGGGCAGCACCCACTTGTGCGGGGGGGCCTGGGTTCAACCTTACCTCCCTGGCTTCCCTAAACTGCACTCAGAGGTAGGCCCTTCCATGACCCCCATTGACCAGATGAGGGAATCAAGCCTTGGGGGAAGGCAGTGACTCTCCCCAAGGGCACACAGTGACTGTCACCAGCCTCCCTGGGCATCTTCTCAGCCCCTTGTCCTCCTGCCCAGGGCTGCTTCGAGCACATCGGCCACGCCATCGACAGCTACACTTGGGGGATCTCGTGGTTTGGGTTTGCCATCCTGATGTGGACGGTGAGAGGCGGGGGGCCCATGGGCTGGGTGGGATGCGGGGTGAGGCGGGGGCGCCCTCATCTCCTTCCCCTCACACAGCTCCCAGTGATGCTGATAGCCATGTATTTCTACACCACCCTCTGAGGAGCAAGAAGGGAAGGCCACCTCCACACCCCACCCCGCTGCCTCCTGCTCCTGCTGACACCAGCTGGAGCCGCGTGGTCACTTCGTCTCTCCCTTTCCCACCCCTCTCTCCCGTCCCTCCTTCCACTCCCAAGATCTTGTTCCGGGTTTCAGAACCCTATTGGATCTGGAATGTGTCCTGAAATCCTTGGACCTATGTGTGTGGGCCCTTAGCCCTTGACCTCATTTTGCATGGCGTATTTCTGGCTCGTGTCTTAAGTGTCTGCTTAAAAGTCCTGTCCTTAGGGACCCTTCCCTGATCCCACCATCCATTCACGACCGCCTGTCCTTCATGGCAGGTGTCACTCTTACTGCCACATAGTCTGTGACTGTCTCTAGTAGACTGGATTGTCATGAGAGGAGGGATCAATTCTATCATGGCCACTTTACTGTCCCCATCACTGCCCAGCACAGAGCTGAACATGGGCTAGATACTCAATAAATACCGGAGGATTGAACGAATGGATGAGTTTGCTTTCTTCTGGGGCAAGGGTGAATGAACAAGAACGCTTCCAACTGAAGTGACAGAAATCCGACTGGCACTGACGGAAAACAGAACAAGTGTGTAGGCTCAGCGACCATGCCAACGGAACTGGCTTCCGGCATGTGTGGATCCAAAAGTCTCCAGGAAAGCTGCTTCGTTCTTGGATTTCTCTGGCAACACCAAACCACAGCTCAGCAACACCGCAGCGAGAAAGATCTGCCTCTCAACAGCATTTACGGAAATCGGATCAAATCGCATGGTCTTGGTTTAGGTTCTAGACCCTTAGGTTGGGGAAAGGAGGGCACTTGGATTGGTGGGATTGGGGGAGGGTTGTTTATTAAAGGAAAATCAGGGTGCTGGTGATAGACGCCCTCCTCCAAGGGATACAGCCTTGGCAAGTTCTCTGAGGGGTCCAGGACTGCAAGCCAGTTAAGAATCTCATATGGCAGGACCAGCAGTTGGCCTAACAGTTATGTTGCTGGACTCCCATGTAGTCGACTGTGGTTCAAGTCCCGGACCCGGTGGCTTAAACTCACGCCAGGCATGTGTGCATGCGTGCCCAGGATCCTGAGAGGAGAATGGAGGAGAAGGGATTGCAGCATGGCCATCCCCCCTGGGGGGTGATTTCTCGCCTTCTGTCTCTATGTCTCTCTCTGTCTTTCTGGCGAGCACATGCTCCCTATAGCAAAAAAACTCTCCAAAAGAAAAAAAGAGAGAGAGAGAGAGAAAGAAAGAATCTCATATGGGGCTAGCAGGTAGCATGGTGGTTAAGGGCGCTGGACTCCCACATGGCCAACTGCAGTTCAAGTCTCAGACCTGGCGGCTTGCTTTCTCACTTTCTCTCTCTCTTTCTCTCTTTCTCTCTCTCTCTGTCCCTTTCTGGTCAAATTAAAATGAATAAGTAAATAAGGAAGGTTAAATAAAATAATTATAAAAAATAAAAGTCTCATTATTCTTTTGTTTTCCCTGAAACAACCCATCCTCTGGCCATTACACAATAGTCTTACCAAAAGGGTCTATCTTCCTTAAATTAACCGAAGTTTCTCCAGGTCGTCATTTACTCCGCTGGTCCAGAGATGGCCTACAAATGCCAAATTCAGATCTTTCTTTCTTCCTTCCTTCCTTTCTTTCTTTCTTTCTCCTCTTTTCTTTTTTTGGCTATAGGGTGTGCACTGATCAGAGACAAGGAGAAAGAGAGAAATCGCCCCCTAAAGCCATGGCCACACTGTAATCCGTTCTCCTCCGTTCTTCACTTGGGATCTTGGGCACACACACCCAGTTGCCTGGCATGATTTTCAAGCCACTGAGTACCGGACTCAAACGACACGGTTGACTATGCGGGAATACGACACCTTAGTGAACAGGTCATTGGCTGGCCCAGGCTTTTATTTTGTTTTAATTTTTTTGTTTGTTTTTGGAGAGGTTTTTTTTGTTTGTTTTTGTTGTTGTTGTTGTTGTTTTTTGTTATAGGATGTGTGCACTCGCCAGAAAGACAGAGAAAAACAGAGAGACAGAAAGTGAGAAATCATCCCCCCAGGGAGGATGGCCACACCGCAATCCCTTCTCCTCCATTCTTCTTTCAGGATCTTGGGCACGCACGCATATGCACCTGGTATGGGTTTAAGCCACTGGGCTCAGGACTCGAACCATGGTCAACTATATAGGAGTCTAGCGATATAGCCATTATGCCAATTGCTGGTCCCATATTTTATTTTATTTTAAAAAATTATTTAAATTTAAATTTATTTATTTATTTATTTATTTTAATTTGACCAGAGAGGGACAAAGCAAGAGGGAGGGAAAGTGAGAAAGCAGGACCAGCAGATGGCATAATAGCAACGTTGCTGGACCCCCATGTAGTCGACCACAGTTCAAGTCCCGGACCTGGTGCCTTAAATTCATGCTGGGTGTGTGTGCGTGAGTGCCCAAGATCCTGAGAGGAGAATGAAGGAGAAGGGATTGTGGCATGGCCATCCCTTCTGGGGAGTGATTTCTCGCTTTCTGTCTCTCTGTCTCTGTCTTTCTGGTGAACATACATGCCCTATAGGAAAAAACTTCTCCAAAAAAAAAAGTGAGAAAGCACCAGGTCCAGGATTCAAACCATGGTTGGCCATGTGGGAGTCCATGTGGGAGTCCAGCATCCTCAACCACCATGCCACCTGCCAGTTCCTAGGCTTTTATTTTTCAATTTTTAAAAATGTATTATTATTGGGACCAGCAGTTAGCGTAATGACTACATCGCTGGACCCCTATCAACCTAACCATTATGCCATGTGTTGGTTCCTAAGCTTTCGTTTATTTTTAAATTTTTTTTTCTTCTTTTTATTTTTTCTTTAGAGAGATTTTTGCTATAGGGCACATGTCCTTGCCAGACAGACAGAGACAAAAAGCAAAAAATCACCCCTCAGGAGGGATAGCCTTGCTGCAATCCCTTCTCCTTCAGTCTCCTCTCGGGATTGTGGGCATGCATGCATGGGCACCTGGCCTGAGTTTCAAGCTTCTGGGTCCGGGATTAGAACCACAGTCAGCCATATGTGAGTGCAGCAACATAACCATTACACCACCTGCTAGTCCCATATTTTTGAAATATAGTTTAAAGCTGACCCTATGGCCTGTTGGTTAAGGCAGCTGAATCCCATGTGGCTGACCACACAGTTCAAATCCTGACTTCAGTGGCTTGAAAAAAAACACCAAGCGGGACTGGCAGGTGGCATGGTGGACTCCCACATGGCCGACCATAGTTCGAGTCCCGGACCTTACTTTCCCTCTCTTTCTCTCTCTCTTGCGCTGTCCCTCTATGGTCAAATTAAAAATAAATGGATGGATAAATAAATGAAAAAAACATGGAATATGCAAGTGTGTGTACTCAAAGTCCCAACAAGATGGAGAGAAGGAAGAGAAGGGATTACCCATGACTACCCCCAGCTGGCATAATAGCAACGTTTCTCTCTCCCTTCTGTCAGTCTCTCTCTCTCTCTCTCGTGAGTACACATGCCCTCTGGCAAAATTTTAAAAAAGTAAATATGCATGTATTCCCTGGACTCTTTTGAGAAGGAAGTGGGGAAAGAGGGCTGAGAGGAGAAAGAATTTTCACATCATATAAGGGGGGGCTTCAAAAAGAGTATAGAGCCCTGTTCTCTTTGCTCCTCCAAGCTTGCCGGGTCTGGTCCTTTTACTTTTTAGTTTCCAGGACTCAAATTCACTGCCGCATCCTCTGAAGAAGGGAAGCTCTTCGTGGGAGGCTCAACTTCAACACCGATGAGCAGGCGCTGGAGGACCACTTCAGCAGCATCCGGCCTTTGTCTGAGGGGGTCGTTGTCAAGCACTGGGAGACTCAGCAATCCCGGGATTTGGCTCTGTCACCTGCAGCAACCCAGAGCATGCCTCGGATGCCATGAGAGCCATGAATGGAGAGTCTCTGGACAGTCATCAGATCTGTGTGGCCCACACAGGCAAGTCTGCCCTGGGGAACCAGAGAAGGTGCCTTTGGAGCTCGTGGTCTCAGCTACCCTAGAGGTGGTGGGGATGGAGGATGTGGGAGTGGCAGGTATAGCAGATAACATGGAAGATATGGTTATGGATGTGGACGGTCCAGAGACTACAGCGGCAGAAGCCAGGGTGATCATAACCGCTATTCAGGAGGAAATTACAGAGACAATGATGACTGAGACGAGGCATGTGCACGTAATGTAGATACACCAGGAATAAGACTTCTGGTCCTGGCTTGTCCTTCCAAATGACTATATTTATAAAGAGTTTTGGAGCTGCACTGGAACACCTGTTTTAGTACACCAACATCTATTTTTGTCTTTTTTTTGGAGATGTCTTTGCTATAGGGCACGTGTGCTCGCCAGAAAGACAGAAAGAGACAGAGAGACGGAAAGTGAGAAATCACCCCCCAGGGGGGATGGCCATGCCACAATCTCTTCTCCTCCATTATCCTCTCAGGATCTTGGGCATGCACGCACGCGCGCCCGACGTGAGTTTAAGCTACCAGGTCTGGGACTTGAACCATGGTCGACTACATAGGAGTCTAGCGACATAGCCATTACGCTGCTGGCCCCTCAATGACTATTTTTGAATTGAGCTCCCAAGGTAGCTTGTTGAAAACCTTTTAGAAAGCTCCATGTGTTTAAAAATTTTTTTTCTCCCATTTACTGACAAGTTTTGAGACATTTGTAGAGTGGATATTTTTACTTTTATCAGTGTTTTTGTTAGTTTGTTTTTAATTTGGGCTCTCAGGATTATAGATTCTGGCTAAAAAAAAAGTTTGGCCAGACTTTTAAAATTAATATGTATTTAGGGATATTTTTTAAAGCTGTACACGTGATATTTATCATGGTTAGGAAGTGATTTCCCAATGTATCTTTAAGGAATCTGCACCAAGAACATTATTACTTGGAGGTCTGTTTTAAACACACAATCATGACCCTGATTACACAGAAGAGCTTCATACAAGTGTTAGTGATAGGGATCAGCAGTTGGTATAATGGTTATGTTCCTGGACTCCCATGTAGTTGACCACAGTTCGAGTCCCGAACCCAGTGGCTTAAACTCACAGTAGGCACGCGTGCGTGTGTGCCCAAGATCCTGAGAGGAGAATGGAGGAGAAGGGATTGTGGTGTGGCCATTCCCCCCAGGGGGTGATTTCTCACTTTCTGTCTCTCTCTCTCTCTCTCTCTCTCTCTGTCTTTCTGGCGAGCGCATGCACCCTATATCAAAAACCTCTCCCTCCCAAAAAAGTGTTTGTGATAAATAATTATTTAAAATAACAATAATAATAATAATAATGGGAGACCAGCAGGTGGCATAGTGGTTAAGGCATTGGACACTCCACATGGCTGACCATGGTTCAAGTCCCAGACCTGGCAGCTTGCTTTCTCACTTTCTCTCTCTCTTTCTTTCTCTGTTCAAATTGAAATAAATGAACGAATAAATAAAATTTTAAAAATAATTATT